CATCTTCTAATAGTGCCACACCCTATGGGTCTATGGGGGCCATTTTTATTCAGACCACCACAGAAGATAATAAGACAACATGCCAAAAACAGGGAGCAGAAAATCGGAAAGAATGTGGGTCTAGTATTCCTCTATGCTGTCGTTTTCCCCCATTCTGAACTGTTAACCTCAGACATCTTTAATGAGATACTGGCTGCTAAGCTAATGTTAGCTTTTCAAGTACTTGAATAAAAAGTTGAATAAACTCTTAATCAGATCATATCCTTTTATTAAGAGACATAGAGCATCCTTCAGATTTTAATTTTATTCACAGACTCTAAAATAAATGCTAATAAATGTACAAAATGTCCCCATTTGTCAAGTTTCCCTTGCGGAGGTGCTATGGAATTACATATGTTTGGCCCTCTATAAGGCATTGCTCTTAATCATGCTTGTCGTGGCTTGTCCTGAAACTCTGACATAACTTCAGTTGTAAAAAAATCTGGATTAGCCTAATGAAAGTCCCAAGGGCCTCATGATTAGGCAAGATTCCTCTGGGGAAAGCTCTCAGACGCTCACATGGAAACCGCTTCTATCAAAATCACTTTAAATTCTGTCTTCACTTCCACTTTGCCAGACCTATTAATACACGCTGTTGGGATCTTCAATGAAAACATATGCTTTCTTGCTCTCAGACCTAAAGACAACAAGAGGGTTTTGAAAGGCTTCAACACTCCCGTCCTGGGTACAGCTGTCTCTCATGGCATCAGAAGTGTGTGCACCTTCCTCTTCAGCCAGATGCTGGTTTATTTAGGCACAAGGGCCTCTGCTTAGTCATTCTGGCAGATCCTACAGTAGAGGGCACCATAGCCTCCCTGAGGTAGGAACCCAATACTCACTGAGTCATAAGGGTAACAATAAAAAGTGTGTGCCATGAAGGTGTCTTCACAGCATCATTTCATTTAACTCACAAGGTCCTGGTGAAAGAAACCACTCCTTCCTTTAAGTAAGAAGGCAGGGCTTAGAGAGGTTGTCACGAGATCAAGCTCATTTGGCTATAAAAGTGGAAGCTGGATTTCAGAACCTATATTCTTTTTCTTTTAAAAACTTTTTTAGAGCTTTGTTAGGAGGAAGGAGAGAGAGACAGAGAGAGAGAGAGAGAGAGAGAGAGACTTTGCAGAGGACAGAGAGAATACGGAGAGAGGCAGAACCTATATTCTTAATGACTATTCTTTCTGAAAATGAAATTCATGTAAAATGGTTACTAGTAACTACCTAATAATTATATTAAAAACTAATATATTAAGATGGACAATTTTCACCGGGTGGTAGTGGCACATGCCTTTAATCCCAGCACTCAGGAGGCAGAGCCAGGCAGATCTCTATGAGTTTGAGTTCGAGGCCAGCCTGGTTTACAGAGCGAGATCCAGGACAGGCACCAAAACTATACAGAGAAACCCTGTCTCCAAAAACAAACAACAAACAAAAAAAGATAGACACCCAAACCCCACAAGAAATAATAGCTACTCGTTATACAGGGCTTATGTTGTGATAGGTTTCATTTTGCTGTTACTGGTTGTTGTGAGTTGCCCACATGGGTGCTGGGAACTGAACTCTTGGTCCTCTGATAGAGCAGTCAGTTCTCTTAACCATTGAGTCAACTACCTAGTCCCTATGAAATTTACTGACCTTAACTTATTTACCTGCCTCAACTAGTGCTAGAAGGCAGATGCTATTTTCAGTGGTCCTTACCCCCTGAGTAACCCCTTACCCCATGCCACTGCCTTTCTGTCTACTATGTTTGCTGCAAAATGGAGTCATAGGGTTTTTTCAAACCTTTCTTTTGTTGACCCTGGAAACAGAAGTATCTCCATTGCTGATTTTAACTGAAGTTCCCATAGCCCTGGTTCCATCCTTGGTGTTTCTAATTGCTTGGTCCGAGGTATTTCCTGGGCACTGGAAGTTAAAGATGCTGCGAGCGATCAAATGCACACTGGATGCTGAGAACCACTGTCTATTCCCATTTAGCATCCGGGGGTTCTTTGCTGGTGCAACTGTCCTGTGTATCACAGCGTACTTATCAGTGGATCAGATGTCCATGGTTCCCTTTCAAGTTGTGTCAACCCAAAAAAATCTCTCCCAAGTGGATGTGTTGTATTGGGGGTAAAGGAACAAGATGGCCCCTGTTGAGAATCACTGGTCTAGGGACATTTCTAGTAGCCTGGACTGTGAGAAGTCTTTTAGGAAGAAAAATGAGAAGGGTGGCTGCTATTACACTTGCTTCTAAATGGCAGAAGGTACAGAGACGCCACCGAGGTCTGGCAGGAAACACTCCTGTCACAGAAGAAACTTCATCAGGGTGCTTTTTGTTCTTTGAAGTTTTTCATTCCAAGCAAAAAGATGTCAATTTTTTTTTTAAGGAGCATCTTGGAAAATTAAGGAAATGACACAAATTTTCCTAACTGATCTAAGGCACACAGAAGGGAACTCATTTTTTTTTTTTTTTCAATTAGTGGGAACAGTCTGGCCTGGATGAGATCTTGTCTCAGGATGCTGCTGTAAGTGGAGAGATAAAGTTCAAAGTCATGGATGCTAAGTGCATGGAGACCCAGGCCAGGCATCTGGCCACCCAACCAATAATAAGAGTGATAAAACGGGTTAGAGCTGAGGTGCTAGGGGGCTTGGAGTAGGGTTCGAATGAACCCATCGAGGGAAGGCCGGGCTTGGGAATAAACTGCGTTAGTGGTGGGCTTAATTTGGGATTGAAAGTAGCATGAAAATTGGGGGGTGAAGGGGAAGAGGGGTAGACAATAGGTGCATTAGTGAGAAAGTTGCCCTGTGTGGAGTGGAATCCTTTCAAGAACTGCAGGGAACCAGAGCTGAATGCAGCAGATCCCAGCGGCACAGGACAAGAGAGCTTCCACCTTTATTCCCAGATTCCCACTTGTTGTTGCCTGAGTGTTATATCCAGGCACGGTCACTTGTTAGTACTTTGCTGTGTTCTGACTGGACATCAGGAAGAGCAGTGGGAGCTGGTAGTTGGGCACAGCCAGTTGGCATGGGTAGGGAATTAATGATGGGGTATATGCTTCAGCTACAGCGGTTCATCTTCAAACATATTTGAAGGTAGCTTTGCTATATAACTATGTTTAATATTTTATTAATTATTTTTATTTCTAATCATTTAGCTGCTTCCTTCCCTCCCCTCCACCCTCGAGGGTTTCTCTGTGTAGCCCTGGCTGTTCTGAAACTTGCTCTGTAGACCAGGCTGGCTTCAAACTCCGAGATCCTCCTGCCTCTGCCTCCTGAGTGCTGGGGTGAAAGGCATGTGCTACCACTGCCCAGCAGCAATGTTTAATTTTGAGTAAATATTCTGTTATATTAAAGATACCTGTACCTTACTTATTCATTTGTTTGTTTATCTGAGACCACAAAAGACCACTTCCACAAACCGAGAGGCTATCTCAGGCCTGCTCTCAACTCTTCTTTCCACGAGTCCTTTCAGGTCCACTGAGAAACATTCTTCTGTCTCTGTTTCTCATTCATTCAGACAATGTCAGGTTTTTGGTGACGCTGCTATTTTGTTTCTTTTCTTCCTTTTATGAACTCATTTCGATTCTTCTTTCAGTTCCTTGAATCTAGAAGGTGTTTTGTTGGCACATTTCTCCTTCTCATTCTACCCCAGCCCACCCCTACCCCCAATGACTTCCTTCCTCTTCTTCAGGTGTGGCTAAATGCCACTTCTTCCCTGGAGCCCTCCCTTTCTAGAGAAAGGCCTTCCTAGTCCATCTCATTCATTGTTATATTCCAATCTATTTGTTTTTTTTTTTTTATCTGACGTGCTTGTAATTGTTTTGTATGCTTATTTTATTTATTTCCCTCAGTAGAATACAACCTTTGTGAAGGCCAGGATCATAACTATATCCTTGAGGTCTCTAGTAAGGTTGCCAGATTTAGCAAAGAGAAATATTGGTTTCCCAGTTAATTATGAAGATACAATGAACAATGAATAACTTTTTAAGTATAAGGCTGTCCAAGAATTAACGAGGACATAGTACCCACTAAAATTATTTATGGTTTATCAGAAATTCAAATTTAACCGAGCATCTTGTACTTCATCTGGCAGTCTAGTCCCTGGGTCCTCACATATGACTCTCACCACATATTAGTAGAGGAAAACTTGGTGGCATCAAATTTAAGTTGCTGCCATGGCAACAAAGCAGAGAGGGTTTGCTAGTCCTATAAAATCAAAGCCAGGACAGCTACCACTTTCCATATTTCTGTTCTGGCTTGCATATCTTTTCACCCCAGAAGAACATAGTCAACCCACTTCCAAAGTCTTGGGCAGCCCCATACTGGGAGGGACGATGGCCTTATAAAGGAAGCTTTATAAGTTGGGTTCACCTTGCTATACAATCATGCCTCATTTTCTTGGTGTGGCCTCCTCCTTGGGTATCAGTTTCTGTCTGCTCTGTCTCCCAAGACTGATTCTTCCATTTCAACCATCCATCCAAAACACCCTGCTCTAGGGTTGGTAGTGGGGATTTCCATTAATGAACTGTCCCAACTCAAGGAGGTCAATGGGTTTCCTAGGATACAGGATTTTTCCTGCAAAGACCAGAGAAACCCAGCTCTGAGCATCCCAAAGTAGATAGATTACTACTTCTTCTTGGTGGCTGAAGTTCTTGTCTAATTTCACTGGACATGACTACCAGAATTAGATGCCTGGTGTTCTGGGTAGGCACACAGTTTAGACAAATGGCTAGTTGTTTGGAACTTTGCTGACCCCCAAGCCTGGAATGACCCTAAGGCTTGACTTTGGATTCAACCTCGGCTCATGGTTCTAATGCTTGTCCTGCCCTGCCTGGTTCAGTCGTTGGCAGATACCTAGATTTGTGGTCTTAGAGTAAAGCCCCCAGGCTAAGCACATGGGAATTGCCCCCACCCCCAAGCCCCGAGCCATGGGCTTATCTGGCCCACCAGTCCTGGACATCGAGACCTGAAAATGACCATTTGCAACATCCACAGAACACATATTTATTTAGTAATGAGAAAGCCATAGACATTTCCGAATGCATTTCCACGAACACTCTGGGTTACTTGACTATGAAAAGTGAGCTCTCATTTTAATCCCTGTCCCCATATCCCCAGAGGGTGTGAGGTTCTCAAGGAAACCATGCAAATCTATTCTCAATTACAGGAGCAGGCTTCAGTCTCACTTAGGTTCCGTGGGGTTCCTGGAATTGGGGGTGAAGTGGCTCTTGAGGGGCTCCCAGCATTTGTAGTAGTTCTCATCCAAGCATCTACAGGTCTTGAGTCCCCACTTGGTGACTGCCAAACTCAAGGAAGATTCAAACATGAATGCCTACAGGAAATAAGACAAAGAGGAGAAAGGAGAGGTCAGGCGACGATAAAGCGTGTTTAATTAGATGCATAGAGAAGGTATGGGTAGACCAAACATTGGACTAATAGTTATACATACTGCCATGATGAGGAGAGGAAACACAAGCCCTGGGTTCTGGATCTGGGTTACCAAATTGAAGCTGTATACGAGGTTTCTATCTACTTAGGGCCTTGAGTATGAGACTAGAATTGCTCATAGCATTCTGGAGGCAAAGTTTTTATTTCCAAGGGCAGACATGGGAGTATCCCGGGGTCTTCTCAGGGAGCATCACTTGTGGTGATGTCCTTGTATGTAGAGCATACTCTTATTTCACAAAGGAAGAAACAAAGCTCAGAGCTGGGAGATGGTTTGTCTAAGATGGGTAAGTGATGGCAGAACTGGGGTCTACGCCTGTTTCTTCAGGATCCTGACCAAGAGTTCAGCTCAGAAAAAGGAAAAGGAAGAAGGGAAAGGAAATGATCCATAAAGGGACTGATGCTGCAAACCCCACTGAGTTCTGGATGTTTCTGGTCACAGTAGAAAGAAGCCGGAAAATATTCTGTATATATTAGACATTTCAGCTTTTTATCAGTGGTTGATTTTTCCTATCTATAGTGTCTTTTGTAAAATAATAACAAACAACCCAAACCTTTCCATTCTTTTTGTTCTCATTAGGAAATTAAAAAATACTCTAGACAGGCCAAAGGAAAATTATATTATTCTTTTGTGACACCTCTCAGAACAGCTGCATTAATGTGTGGGGTCTCACATACATTAATTTCTTCTTGTCTGTGTCAGTGGAGAAGTGTGTCTTTGCCTGACTTCTGTGACAGCCTTCGAGGCAGAGTTTTGGATGAGATACAAAGGTATAAAGCCCTAGTCACACATGAGGGTAAATGTTACAGCCTTTATTATTGTTGTCTTCTGCTGACTTCTTGGGAGCTTCGCTGTCAGGCTGAGCTGTGAAGAATCATATAAACCACTTCCCACTGGGATATGACAGATTGATCTGTGTCTACATTATATAATGGGGAATGGTAAAGGAGACATGAAGTTAGGCCGAGGTCAAGTTTCTATTTATGTATATGTGTGTATCTCTGTGTGTGAGTATGCACACATGTATGCGAGTACCTCTGGAGGGAGCCTTTCAGATACCCTGGGCCTCCAGAAACCCAGTCCTTTATCATTCTAACCTCCTTCCCAAGTCAGCTTCATCTCCCTAGCAATCCAGGTCTCAGACATTGCTCAAATTCTTACTGCACATAAAAACAGCCCTGCACCTCAGTATTGTAGAACACTGATGTTGGTAGTATGGCTTTCAAAAGCCCATTTGGAGGCCCAAGGGTGGTTGACGAACAACTCTAAGGTGGATTGTGCACTTTCAAGGGCTGTCAGAGGCAATAGCCTAACTGAGATCATCAAACTGTGTCTCACCAAGATGTAGGTTCCTACAGACACTCTCAGGAGGCTCTTGAAAGGGTTAAGGGGGCCTAGGCTAAGAAGATGGGAAGAACTCTATGTCCCTTCCTCCATAAAAGAAGCTCTGGCTTTGGACTTGGGCCTAAAAGCAAATCCCACTGGACAGGTGAACAGTTAATGCTAGGGAGTTTACAAGCCATACTTTTTTAGTCAAGCAGGTCTGTGTTATGGGTCTTAAACTATGTAGCACTGAAGGCATTTGTTTTAAAATATGGAGCAAGTTTGCATATGGTTTAGCATAAAATTATTTCTTGTGGTCCATTAAGTCTATTTCCAAGAATGCAAAAAAATAATAAATAAAATAATAAAATAAAGTCAAGGACCGCAGCCAGCCGCAATCATGTTCCGCCTCGGTGTTTACAGCCTGACACAAGAGGAATACAAAGCAGGCTTTAAATCCCATCTGCTTCATCCCATGCCAAAGGAGAACAAAGAAAATGAAAAAAGCAGCTGAGATGTGCTGCTCACAAGTCCTGACTGTCGAGAGGCAAAGGCTGCTGGACCCTCCTTTGCTTTTGGAACTGGCTGAAGGTGGCATCTGTCTCCTCTGCTACTGTGGTCCTCAGGATTATTATCCATATAGAATACTCTGAGACAGAGCATGCACACAGGGCTGCATTTAGATCCAGCAAGAGCCTTCAAAGAGAATTAATACTGTTTCCTTGTATTTGAAGTGATTGGACGCTCCATAAGGCATTATAACTCACAGATGTCCTCTGGGTTGGACAGTATATCCATTCTACAGAATGGGAAATAAAGCATGGAGAGGTTGCATAGGAATTAAGAGGATTTGAACTGGTCTGACTCCCGGTTCAAACTCTACACTATCACACCAGAAGTTTAGTATATCCACACAGCTGATTCATACTTGTAACACGCACATACAGACACAAAACAATCCTCCCTCCACTTCTGTGACTTTGGAGAAGTACAACAGAGCTGCTTTTCTCTATAGATGTTTCAGAGCCCAGAGGCAGGCCCTGAAGCATTAGCTTGCTTACCATGGTGCCGTCAGCAATTCTCTCAGGTGCCAGTTTGGCCTTGCTGGCCTTCTCAAAGCAGTCTGCATCCGGGCCGTGAGGGGTCATGATACTGTGCAGGCTGCCTCCCCCTGGCAGGAATCCATCTTGCTTTGCCTCATAATTACCTTTGATGAGTCCCATGAATTCACTCATGCAGTTCCCTGGGAAGGTTTAAGCAGTATTATTTTTATTATCCAAGGCGTGACCCATAAAAAAACAGTACTTCTTCTAGGAGTTCATGCCTCATATTCCAAATTCACCAAATAATTCCACAACAGCACATGGTTTCACCACATTTCTGGTTCCCAGTCTGGAAAGTAAAGTGGGGTTTGTGAGTGAGTGTGTGTGTGTGTGTGTGTGTGTGTGTGTGTGTGTGTGTGTGTGAAGGTAATGCTACAAGATAAGCTCCAGACTTACAGTCTATTATCAAGTGATAATCTATGAGCCACATGGTCGGTCTCTGTAAAACAGTGATTTATCATAACAGATAACTGAATCTGAATAGGAGAGAATCTTATTCTTCTGTTCTCCTGGAACCTGAAATCTGAACATTGGAAATGATCCTTTCTACTCCAGACAGAAGACTTTTCTAGCTCATTCCTTATGGATTACTCCCAGGATCTGCTCCGTGCCTTCAAGGAATGGACGGCTCCACGGAGCAACCTATCACGTAATTGAATAGCTCTAGGTGTTTGGTTATTTTTTTTTAATAACTAAATGGACAATTTTACATCACCTTCAAGAGTCACACGGAATTTGACAAACAAAGCCTGCCATGCTTCCATTCTTTTGGTGTTTTATTTCTGTGGAACTGAGACTCTTTATCAACATGGCAAAAACCTAAGGGTGAGAGTTAAAGAAATCTGACCCCTGGGTGAATGCAAATACCTTTCCAACTCTGTCTATCCACTCATCTGCCTGTTTCCCACTCCACTAGCTTGCCTGTCCATCCACGTTGAAAATGAATCATTAGATACTATTCTAACTACTGGGCTACACCGAGGAGTAAGAATTGGCCTGCTTAAAGCTGCTCCTTGCCTGTCCTGTGGGCAGATGGAGAGTGCAGAGCATGTAACACTGAGGTGGCAGCCCATGAAGTCTAACACTTGACAGGCCAGCACCATGCCCTTCTTCCTTCTGTGTGAAATAAAAGCAGGTACCATAATCCTTCGGTAATCACCTGCACAGCTGCCCATCTCCTGCCTCCCACACAGCACACTGCTCCAGCCCCTACCGAGAAAGTGAGGCCCAGATCATAGCCCCACATGCACCTCATGAAGCAGATAAAGGAAAAGCGAATGGAAGTCCTCAGAAATGGTATGCTAAGAACAGTTCCGCACACAGCTTCAGTCTGCAGTCACACTCCTGGCTGCACTACGTGTCGCCAGGGTCACCTTCACGGCTCAATTTCCAGAAGAGAGCAAGACAGGATTTGGTTTTGATCTGAATGTGAATTTAGTTAGCAATGAGTTTGGTGAAGATATTCTACATCACTTTTGATATTTCAAAGGACAGTGGGAGGGTAGACCTTGCCTTTCTGATTAAAGCTGGATCTAGTTGACTAAGGTGCATTAAAATGACTAGAGGCAATATTTCTATAGAAATAATTCCCCAGTTCCCCTTAAAGTCACATCAAAGTAACAAAGATTTGGAGTATTGCTGAAGCAATATTTTTATATCTCTGATAAAACTAATTTCTAACTTCGGGTTCTATGGGTTTTTTTTTTTTCTCCAGACAGACTCGGGGCACCATATCTTTATGAGATGGTATTTGGGGACAAGTCATCAAAAACACCATAGGAGGCATTTCACAAGGCCGGCAGTCTGCAACACAAAGGGAGATTAAGGATTGGGAGCCGAAGAACAGCAGCACCGTTGTAGCTGCTAGGAGGGGAGAGAAGCCCCCCCCCCCCCCCCACTGCTCTCAACAGAAAAGTCTGCAGACCTCTAGGTCGGAAGCCTCTGGCTTCCCAGTTCAGAGGGCAGCCTCTGAGTTCCTACTTTAAAGGCAGCGAATGTAAACTCGGGGAGAGGGAAGTTTGAGAATAAACTTAAAAGAGAGAGGGTACTCTTGATGGTGACCTTGAAGGGGCACGCTGGCTGTCATCGGGCTGTGAGGGGGCCTTCTTTTATCCTGACAGCCTTACTTCCCCACCCTCCCAAATGCTTAAATGGCCCATTCAGCACAGCTGTACACCATTGAGCTCTGGTACCTGGGAACTGTTACAGAGAGGAACTCATATAAACAGAAGGTCCTGTAGTTAACTATGGAAAGTAACTTGTTGTCTAGAATGTTCCAGCTGAAAAAATGCATGTTAGAGCCGTTCCAGAACTCTATGTTCAAAAAAAATGTAAAATTCTCCTGGAAGCAGAATTGTACCTTGACCTTGTTTAATTTGCACAATTAAAAATGTCAACCTCATTAAACACAGCTGTGGCGTACTTATTCATTCTTGGTAATGTATCCACCGACTGAATAAATATTTCTAGATGTGTATTATGTACAGGCCACAGCACTAGCTGCATCAATTAGCAGTCACATGTGTCTGCTTTGGCATCAGACAATCCGCAATTAAATCCTGACCCCGCCACTCAACTAACTGTGAAACCTTGAGAATTGCTCACTCCCCTGTGTCAATCTCAGCTCCTGGGAAACAGAAAGGGAGGTAATTGATATTCTCTGTCTCCTGCTGCTGTTATAACCCAAATAAGTTAATACTTTCAAAAAACTTACAATAGAGCCTAAGAAACTTGCCAACCATCGTTAGTCATCAGCCTTAATAATACAGATAAAACAAAACTGGGTTTGTTTGAATCGCCTTCTGAGCTGTGCTGGTGGCTTGGAGGAGAAAAAGCTATCAAGTGGCCTTGACCCATCAGTGAATTCTACCGATCCTACCTGTCTATAACATCAACCTGCCAGTGAGGTGTGCCTCTGTGTGCAGCAGTGGTATGACTACCATGGGGGTAACCAACTGCTCTCTCGATCTGAGGCCTGGGCCACAGAAGGGCTCCTTTGCTTGGTTCTGAAAGCCTGGTCAAAGCCCCAGCCTTGGGAGGTCGTAGACCCTACAAGGACACTTACTACTGATATTTAACTGCATAGCCACAATGTCAAATTTCCTTCTAAACAGCCATGCTCATTTCTTAGGCAGAAGCTACTCTCAACCTCACTCAAAGAAGCTTCTACTTGCAGTAGACATTGGTGAGTCTCATGGCTGCTCAAGATGCTGAAAATATGTGGAAAATGGGGAACTCAGGCCTAAACGAGTTTTTATACTATCCCTTCTAAGGCTCGGGGGATGTGGTGCAAAGCCAGAATGAGATACCATAAAAGCCGGAAGATAGGAAGAAGAGCAGCAAGCACCCTTCTCTGCATACAACACAGCCAAGCTGGGTATGAGCTCATGGCAGCTTCAGTGACTTGTGCAGGGCCTGCCCATGGCAGGGCCTCTCAGCGGTCAGTCACGGATCGAGGAGGGGCTGATGGGAACTTTCCCCTCACTGCTGAGCTATAGGCCACTCATGGAGGGTGCAAGGAAAGGGACCAACTCCATGATGGCCGGCCATTGTCCTTAGTTTTGTACCAATTGGTATACCCGCCAGGCTCCGGTGAGTAGAAGGTCAGAGAGAAAGTCTTAGTCAGACTCAGAAGGACACCAACTAAACAAAAAGAAAGGGATGTGGGAAAGAGATGAATAGCGATGGGGGGGGGGTACAGGGGATGGGGGAGATGGGAAAGGGTAGGGGTGAGGGCAACTATGACACTGTCAAAGAATAAACTTGACAACATCCCCACCCTCCAGAATAGTTTATCTCCCAGTTTAGATTGTTATCTGCGTTGTCTTGCGGAAATAATTAAAGAAGGAACATTTTACTTGTTCTTGAGACCAGATTTAAGTGGTTTCCCCAAACAAACTTAAAATCACCACTCTTCCCCACCTTTAAAAAAATCTGAAATGAGCCGGGCGGTGGTGGTGCACACTTTTAATCCCAGCACTCGGGAGGCAGAGGCAGGTGGATCTCTATGAGTTCAAGGCCAGCCTGGGCTACAGAGCGAGATCCAGGACAGGCACCAAAGCTACACAGAGAAACCCTGTCTTGAAAAACCAAAAAAAAAAAGATCTGAAATGCACTTCTTGCTTCACTCTTCCCAACATTTCTGTCTCTCTTCCGGCCCAGAGACACCAGAGCCAGGTTAGTCCATGACTCCCTGCAGATATCGGGAGGGTTGGAGCCTCTTAGAGCCCAACAGCAGCCAGAGAGGCCGGACTCTAAACTCAAGGCCCAGCAGGCAGGGGATCCAAGAACAACCTGGCCATTGTCGCCAGTGCCTCGCTGCTGTTTCTGCTTTCCCGAGGTATTCTGGTAAAACCGAGACTTACGGTGGTAATACGGAGGCCTGAAGGTTTTATCGGCCACCCCCCACCGAGGTGGGAAAATTACAAAGTCCGCTATGGCCACTCCAGGTCGGGTAGACTTGGCAGTCAGCACTGTGAAAATGGAAGGATCCTGTGAATACACAAGGGGACACCGAAGGTGAGACAGACGCCTGGGAGGTGACTGGACAACGACAGCATGTCACCTGCACATGTGGCAGTTTTCTGATTTTTCAAGTGACAGTTTCTGATTAACTGACCCACGGCAGGCTTAACTATTTGGGCTCTGATTGAGGGGCAGTAATCACTCATGTGACTGTCCTCTTGCTGTGATTGAAGCAAAATGCATTCATGCCAGATAAGAGGACATTTTCAGCCTGCTGGGTCTATGTTAGGGGCTCCCTGTTACCCTACAGCTCTGAGAGCCAGAGCACCCGACTTCCACCCCAGGCTGAGGGGTGGGGAGCTTGGTGGTGCTGGGAGAATGTTGAGAAACCCACAGAGCAGCAGCACCCACATCCTGGTGCAGAGCTAGGTATGCTTCTTGGGGAGGCGGGGCATCAGAGGTTCCGGATGGTGTCCCTGGGCAGGAAAAATCTGAGAACTGGTTAAAATGAATGAATTCGGACTCTTGATGGACTCTCAGAAGGGCGAGATTACACTTTTTCCAAGAAGTTTAGACTCCGAGATGGAAAGACCAAGGTTCAATGTAATTGATGCCCGTGTTCACTTTCAGACTGCAGCGCTGACATCTGGTGACTCAAAGATTGGGGAATCTGTTCTCTATTCCTTTAACTTGAATTGGGGAAAAGAGAATGTAGCTATGTCTTTTTCAAAATAACTCTTTGTTGAATTTGTTCTTTGACAGTTTCACGCATTTATATAGCGCATTCTGGGTGACAGTCAACCCTCTCCTGGCCGCCACCCATCCTCATCTCCTGTGACAGGATCAGGGAAAGCTTCAAAGACCTGTGACTTGAGCTAAATCTTTAAAAGTGAACAAAAGAAAGGAAGCGGGGTGGGGTGGGGTGGGGTGGAAGAGAAAAGAGGAAGAGGGGGGATTTTTGTCAGGGAAAATAGAAAAGATATCAAGGTACATTGAAATTTTGTAAAGCAGGGGGAAGGTCAAAGCCAGGGGTTCCGTGAAGGACGAAGGAGGGGTGAGATGTGGTACTAGAGAAAGGAGCCCAGGGCCAGATGGTGAGGAGTATCAAATGCCATGCTTCAGAGCCCAGACTTAATCCTAAGCCACGGGGAGCCTGCAAAGATTTTCTAAAGCAGCGATGGATGGGATGACCAGATCTGAATTTAGGGGAGATAACCACCACAGCAGTACAGAGGAGACTGAACCTCTGTAAATTCAAATGGAAGACAAAACCCAAAACCACGAACAAAGAAAAAAAAAAATCAACCCAACATTTCTTGCTGGAAGAGTTACCGTTTTTTCTGCCCTCTGTCATGGGAAATGGTCGGAAACTATTAAAAGAAAGACAAGGTGAGAAGGCTCAAACAGAGCGTTAGCAAGGTCTCGGGTGCTTCTCCGTGATGCCTTGGGCTTGGAATCTTGATTTTCTTTCTCCCCTTTGGTTTTTATTAAGATCCACTGTTGTTCAGAAAGGTAGTTTGGGCCCCCCAGAGATAAACTGAATTGGCTCAGAGTAATCCTTCTATCTCTGACTTTCTGGCTTCTGCCCCAATTATCCCTCAGCTTGTGGGTAAAGTTAATCTATTATGAAGTACACTGCAAAATGAGCTTCCCCTCAGGGTCTCAGAACTAGCACTGTATCGAGCATATGGGCTCTCGGGAGCCTGTACGGTAGACCAGGGACCTATCCGTGGCCCCCTTAATTGACTGAAAAATATGACTGAATTCAAACACTAGGCTTTAAAAAAAAAATCCAAGTATTCAAGCTTTGAGCAACCTTAGGAGAGTCCTGCCTTGCTCTTCACAGCCAGAAGCACAGGCTGGTGAGTGGGTAGGCAGCCAGAGCAAGCAGAGTCCATGCCCCAGGTTTACAAGGTGGCCAGCAGAGTCCATGCCCCAGGTTTACAAGGTGGCCGGGTCTGTAAATGACCTTTCCTCCTGACTTCATTATTATCATTAGCAGGATCACCTTTTCCCATCCACAAGAGTTGTGGTTATACCGAAGAAAAGTAAATTAGGATGAGTGTTTCTTGGCTTCCTTGTTTGTCATGGAATGGATTCCTTCACCAAAGGACCAATGATCCTGTTGAGGCTTTGCAAGGATGACCTTGAAAACTTTAGATCTGTGAACACCCCGGGTATACTCTGGATCCCAACCATTCAAGGGTTGTCCCATCCCCAGGGTCCCTGCATGGTCCAGACTTACCGCATGGTCAAAGGCCACTGCATTGATGACCATGAAGTTCTCCAGGTTGTACTTGTAGGGTGTATAATTTCCATGCCAGGCCACAACATTGAACGGGGAGACATCCTAATTGCAGAAACCAGGAAAGCATGGTCTTAGAACGTAATGTGTCTGTAGCTGCAGACTTACAATCCTTACCGACATAACTCTTTTTATTTGATGCTGTTCTAAATTTAATGAGACCATCCTTTGGGAGCATCATAGCTCATAATCATGCCGTGGCTGCTTCACCGGCCCTCTCCTAGGTCCTCACTTTGTCACTAGCCCCTTTTCCAGTTCATAAGCTGCAGCTGTCAGTCTCATCACACAGACAGCAGAAGCCTAGCACACTCATCAAGCCATGCTTTTTCAGTTTTTAACATAGCTGCAGGAATCTGTGGATGCCAGCAGTTCTCCAACAATCTGGGCTTCCCTCTGCTTCCTGGTGCAGCAGGCGCCTGCTGTGATATTTCTCCTGAAGGAACTTCTCATAGTCACAGTATCTGCTGTTGAGTTCGTGGAAGAAGACACCTTGAAGAGATCCAGCCTAAGTGTTTGAGATTTCAGAATGACATTAACACTGTTCCCTATGTTGTCTCGGGTAGGAGATCACTTTTGTGCTACAGTATTAGGATCTTCCTCATGGGTATCGTGCATCTAGTCAAGGAGGATCCGAGGAAGAATATTCTAAAGTTCAGGATGGATGGATGGTCACAGTGCTGAGGAATAAGAGATTTGAGTGCTCAGCCCTAAATGGGATATCTCTGCCAGCACCTACCCAGCCAGCCCAAGGCTTAAGGACCTTCTTGAAAGACGAAGAGGCAGAAAGAATATGAGCTGGAAGATGAGAAGGAATGTAGTGAAATACTGTCTTCTAGACATGACATGGTTATCAAACTAATGAACTTAGAGCAGCTGAAGTCACCAGCACGTGATATGCATAAGAGTGAGCTAGCCAAAACTCTGGTAGAGATGGCAAAAATGATCACCAGGCCTCTAGGCACTGAAGACATGCCACTGTTAGGAGAGTCCCATGTTCCTGAGGATGGCCCTACATCCATGCACATATAGACAGCACTAACTGTAATTAGAGGGGTATAAACAATAAAAAAAAATTAAAAGATGTGAAGTTGGGAGTAGGATGTGTTGAAGGGGATATGGAGACAGGAAAAGGGCAAAATGGGGATGAATATGATCATATATCATTGTGTTTATGATATTATAATATTCTCAAGAACAAAGGAAAAAAAGCTTTAGGGAAAAGCTACTCACAAAGGCATGGTTAAGGCTAAGTGGAATGATTAGAGTGTTGAGGTATCTGAGCCTTACAACAGTGGGAAGGCATTGACATTCCCGGGCATGAGGAATAAAGGGGGAAAATACTGTTATAGGATGTCAGCAAGATCTAGAACCATGGGGCTGGAGAGATGGCTCAGAGGTTAAGAGCACTCACTGCTTGTTCTTCCGAAGGTCCTGAATTCAATTCCCAGCAACCACATGGTGGCTCACAACCATCTGTAGTGAGATCTGGTGCCCTCTTCTGGCCCGCAGGGGTGTGTGCAGACAGGACACTGTATACATAATAAATAAATAAATCTTTAAAAAAAAAAAAAGATCTAGAACCATGAAGAAGTGTAGTGGTATTTGCTCCGCCCATGACCTGGGCTATAGGGCCTGAAGGAGGCTGTGCTTCCTGCCATTGTAAGTGACCTCTTAGAAGGAGAGGGAGAAGGGTCACATGCCCCTTCTCACTGCTCCTGCCTGCCAGGTGGAAAGGTGGATTCGCTTAGGGTCAGATCAGAGGACGACCTCAGCTGTCTACTCCGTTCTGTATTCGTGAGTGTATTTCCTCAATTTACCTTAATAAATTTCCCTAATACTTCTTAAACGGACTCCTGTAGATTTATTGCTTTAAAGAAGAGTAGATTTGTAAATATTTTTAGTTAGTTCTCTGGGGGAAATAAAGCTCTGATTTATAGTATTTGCTAATGTCTGTGGTATGAATACTCTCACTATGATATTTTATCTCCCCCACCAATAATAATATTTTTTTCTGGTTAAAATTAAAAAAAAAAACACACATTTAGTGCTTTTAGTTATGTACTGAGATCTGGTTTTGAGTCCCAATGTGACACTGCTGAGCACCAGGGTGGGAAGACGTGTGAACAACAGCTTTTACAAGTTGCAATGAACTGACTTCCCACACTGAGGCCACCCAACAGTAGTTAGATCAGGCTCATTTATGTCTTAAATAGGCAGGAAGCAGTGGAAAAAATGCCCAGCTCTTCTCCCTCCTGTCATCAAGTCCCTTCCAGTTGACTCAAACAACCCATAATAGACTAAGGAGCCCAGGCTACTTTGTGGATAAATGCCAGCCTCCCAGGGCATAGACCATGGCAGAGGAGAATGGACCAGTGGGACCATTACAAGGGCCCCCTGGGAAGCAGAAAGCTTTCTACAGCAGCTGCTGGCTACTGCCAGAACAGAGCTTCTCTATCAATTGTATATAAAATAGTAATAATAATATAATAATAATTTCATTGCCCACTGAGAGTATTCATGTAGGTGTGAGCATTTTACACAAGGCTTTCTGATTCTAAAACAAATGGTCCCTGAACCACTTATGAAAAATCCTGACCCAGAGAACGTGAGGCTGACACATTTGCTCCAGGGTTTAAGCTGAAGTTGCAAACTCATGTGCCTCTGCTAGCTGGCATGGCCTCCTTGGTGCTACTCAAGGAAAATAACACATGCTAGGCAAATATAGACAGTACGTCAGACAAATAAAAAAAATTAAAGCAAACAATAATAACAGAAGGGCTACTTGGGTACCTTTCATTATATGATTAATCTGTTCTAACATTATGCACTCAATAAGTTAAGTAATTATACGAAGTGATAGCCTGGCATGGTGGTGCACACCTGAAATGTTCTCTCTTGGGAGGTAGAAGCAGGAGAATCAGGAGTTCAAGGTCACTCTCAGCTACAAAGCAAGTTCAAGGCCAACCTGGGCTATATGAGATCTTGTCTCAAAAAAATGAACAAGAAGCCATATAGTATTATTATAGCATAGGTTATATATTATGTTATTTTTTCATGTGACATTCTTACAGAAAGGATAGACTGTTATCAGCTCTCAAAATTAATTTTATATTATTGTCTGTGATTTCATGTTCTGAGTTTACTAGGCCTCTGATATAATTGAAACTAACTAACTAAATTCTCTGTGTTTTGGATCAACCATCAATCACTTGTATTTGAAATAAGGTGGCCACTGAGGAATATCAGTCTTGGCTGATCTTTGTGGTGACTCATCTTCTTTTTCAGGACATATTAGGTGGCCTATATGTCGTGTGCCCCACGTCATTTTTAGAGACCTGTTTATTGCCAAATTTCCATTGCTAGATAAGTAGAAAGAGCACCACCTTGAGTCAGTCAAACAGCGTCACTTACTGGGACACGGACGAATTAATCATCGCTATCTGATCTGTTTCCATGACGAGGAATGTAATGGGCGGTACCTTAGAGGTGTGATAAAGACAAAGGTAATGTACCTAAGGCTGACCTGGGCACTCAACGGGTGCCTTACAACTCCACATCCACTCTCTGGCTACCGATAGTCTTACCTTACCTGTTTGGAAGCAAACAGCTTGCCCTGGTATTTATTAATCACAGTGTAACCACCAGGCACTTGACGATCTTCATACCAGGCAACAGGGATCAAGAAATCACGAGGATTGGCCAAGCCATTCGCTCCTAGAACACAGTGCCCCGAACCCCGTTTAGAAACTTCGGCAGTCAAAGGAAAGATGCCAGCAAAGGGGAGGCTTTCTTCTGTGTCATGAGTCATCCACAGATTTCTTTCATCACCACAATCCTTACTGGGTTCCCAGCCAGGGCTATGGCTGAGTGCCTGCCCAGCATCTATGAGGCCCTGGGTTCAATCCCAAGCAGCACAGAATCTGTTGGATCTCAGTCTGGTAGATTTGTAGAAAGATCCAAGAGATCTGGCTGAAAAACAGAAAATTTCAAAAATCCTTACGAGTAGCATTGTCTTCTAAAGTTGAAAAGTGATGTGGCTCGGATGCTTTTTATATGCATTACCTCATCACTAATCATATACCACAGGTGAGAAAAACGGAGAGGAGAGACTGGAGAGGAGGAAAGGGAAGAGTTGGGAGAACAGCGGGTCTCTGTCCCAGGAAGCCCTGGGGACTCCCCGACACACCCTTGGACCCTGATCTCATATAAAAAGGCAGTAAGCTATTGTTCTGGGCGGGCCTTTGCCCTGTAGATAGAGCTCAAAAGCCAGGCCTATAAAGCTGCTGTCCAGCCTGAAAAATACGTGCCTGCCATTCAGAGAGGAAGAATTGAGGACCTGCCTGTTTAGCTTTGTTCAGGAGTGAGTGTGCCCTCCCGAGAAAGGAAATAAATCAAACGACAAAATATGAAAAAGCGTAAGTGCAAAAACATAATTTAACTTGGAGAGGAGAGGCCTGGGGAGTGTTTTATCATTTCCAGCTCCTGGGGTTAAAAAAAAAAAAAGCCCCAGCTGGTTAGTAAATTATATATATTTTCCAGAGGGTACATGCTCCGTGGAACCTGGAGGTTCTGCTGCCGGTACAGCAGCAGGAAGCTAGACCAAAGTGGGGAGAGTGGGCGGCAGGCAGGATGACAGACGGCCCACCACGGCTCCAGCTGCCTCTCTGCTGCCTCCCACCTTCCTCTGAATATTTGGATCCCCAGGGGAGTGACCAGAAGGCACATGCTGGCCTGTCCTTGTTGCTCTGAAAAGCTGTTGATGAGGAAGGAAAGAACTGGGAGGTATGGCCCAGGATGAAACCAGAGGCCAATTCCCCCCGCCCCTTTTTTTTTTCTCCATAGGAGGCTTGAGAACAATTGCTCCTCAGATCTTTGCATCTCTCCAGCAGGCCCTGCCTTCAGCTGTTAGAAGAGCAGGGGCCGGGAGAGAGGGAGTTTTAATCTATCTCACAGGGTACCCCTTGTAGGGACGGTTGTTTATAGCCCCTTCATAGCATGAAGTGATACACTTGTTAAGTGTGGGGATTTTGTGAAATGTGTTCATAAGGAACGTGATGTTCAAAGGCCATGTGTCACTCAGCCCAGTCCATCTTTCCATGGGAATAGAACCCAGGCCATTTTTATGGCTGGAGACACACAGCTCATTGACTTAAGAAAACAATTATTCACAAAGCTCATTCTCATTAGCATATATTTGCTTAAGCGGTTCCCTTTCCTCTTCTCTTTAATATGCCATTAAAAATTAATCAAATCTCAGGGCTGGGGGAATGTAGCTCAGTTGGTAAAGTGCTTGCCTAGCATGCATGAAGCCCTGGGTTCAGTCCTCTGCACTGTGTGGGGCTGGGTATGGTAGTGAACACGTATAATCCCAGCATTCAGGAGGCAGTAGAGTTAGAAGAAGTTCAAGGTCATTCTCATCTGTATAGAGAGCTGGAGGTCAGCCTGGGATATAAGAGACCCCAATTTAAAAAACAAAAAACAAAAACAACAACAACAACAACAACAAAAACCCAGAAAACAAAACCCAGAAGAATTTAATCAAATCTCAGATCTCATTCTTGGTAAAGCTATTCTTATGGCCCCCTTCTGTGTCCATTGTAACATATACTATCTAACCAGAAACCTGCTAAGTGCCTTTATCATCATTGTTCTGTTGTGTTATTTTAGAGACATTCAGAGTAGATTGGTTTGGGTCATTTTCTGTTATATCCTGATTTTGTAGGAAGGCACTTGGTCTAAGGAAGCTGTCTGGAGAGGGAAGTTAAGTTGGAATGTGAGAATAAGGAAGAGATGGAAGGCAATGTATCTCAAGTGAAGCCGAGAGTGAAGGTTTACCAATGGGTCCCAGGTCAGGTAACTCAAAGTGGACACCATAAACCTCCAGGATGTAGCCCCTGGTCTCCTCGAAGACATCGACACTGAATCGCATTCCTCTCTGGAGGACAAAAACACAAGCGTGCCCTCTTAAATAAATCATAACTTGTAGTTATATGCAGAAGTAATGTGATCATGTTTCCAGGCATATTGTTGTGGTCGTTTGAACGTAATTGGCCCCCATAATCTCATAGGGAATGGCACTATTAGGAGGTGTGGCTTTGTTGGAGTGGGTATGGCCTTGTTGGAGGACATGCGTCACTGTGGGGCGGGCTTTGAGGTTTCCTGTGCTCAGGATACCGCCCAGTGTCTCAGTCGACTTCTTATTGCCTTCTGGTCAAGCTATAGCCAGCACCATGTCTGTTTACACGCCACCATGCTACCTGTCACCCGCCATGCCCCTCGCCATATGGATCATGCACTGAACCTCTGAAACTGTAAATGAGCCATCCCAATTAAATGTTTCCTTAGTGAGAGTTGCCAGTAGTCATGGTGTCCTCATAGCAATAAAACCCTAACTGAGACAACTGTGAAAGGCGAGCAGATTAAAGATGGGTTACAAAGAAAAATCTAATTCCTAATCATACCCATAATTAATCTCTCGTTGGGCCCAGAAATAACAGCAGCCTCCAATTAGCCAAAAAACTATTTTTTTGAATACCTCCATCATCTCCTACCTTTGACCCAGCCTTAAGTAGACTACAAACATTTAGGGAAAGGAAGTGAAAAACATTCTCTGCTTTGTGACTGTGTGCTATATTCAACAATGCAGGCACTAAGCCTGCTTACTCTGAAGTCTTCTGTGGAACTCACATTCCTCTCTGGTCCCCAGACATGACAGAGACATTTTAGTGTTAGAAATAGCAGCAGCTGAAACATCTGATTGCTCCCGAATTAGGGAGAGGCTGTGGGGAGAGGGCTCATTACCAACCTGAATGACGCAGATCTCGTTGGGCTGCAGCAGCATCTTGCCAAACTCTGTGTAAATGAGAAGCTTCCCTTTCTGGGGAACTGGCAAATGGGGGGAAAAAAATCCAGTGCGGTGATGAGCAACCCTGTTAACGGAGAACCTGCCGGCTTAAGGTCTGTACGTGTTTGTTATTGCAAATGAGGAGACCTTTATTGTGTCTCTCGGGGGTAAGTTATATTCTGACAATGTCAGTTAACTATTTTACTGTCTAGAAGATTTTGAAAGTTCTTCAAAAATCTCAATCTTCTCCCCGACCCCCACCCCTTTGAGGAGCTTGTATATATGCTTTTTTTGTGAATTGACCCAAAAGGGTCATATAAATAGCACAGAAAAATCACTCTTTTCTGACATTTCAGCGGGAATTCTGGCATTTGCATGTCTACTGACTACACAAAAATGTTCATGCCTGAATACGGATTCTAACACCACCAAACGCATGGGAAGACCAGAATAATCTCTGATGGGACTTACATTTTAGATGGTCTCCTAAAATTTTTATCTGAATGGTGGTTATTGATGACAAATGGGCTTTCCTTGGGTGAGTTTAAAAACAAATAGAATTTTCCTAATAAGTTAGTCAGATGTTATTAGCTTCATTTCAGCTGCCAAGATCTCCCACATGAGAGAGGCCCAACAGAGAGAGACGGCCACAGGCAGAAAGCCCAGAACATACATTAGACACTTTGAGGTATGCTAGGAATCTTCTCCAGACCACCAGTGGCATCTGGACCTCACTCTGTAGATGATACTTCATTTAATAACGCAGATGGGAAATGCAGGTAAGAAAAATACAACAACAACAACAACAACCAACACCTGGAACATAGTTCGGGGCTAGGGATCAGTCAATCTTCCCACTCAGGAGCTTACCGATCAGGAAATCCCCATCTGAATTGTAAAAGCACCTGCAATAGACAGAGTACTTTCTGTGATTTTTTTTTTCAGCTTTAACACATTCTGGACAAGTGTATTCATTCTACAAATTATTATTTAGTGCCTACCACGGACCAGGCGCTGGGTATAAAATGGCCTGCAGAAGCCCCCCTGCGGAGTTAAAAAGTCTAGCAGATTGCAACAGGAAACACACAAGTGCAGAACTCTATCCCTGCAAGGCATCCTGGATAATGCTGTGAAAGTCAAGTTCAGGAACAGGAAAGAGGGACCTGCCCTGGTTTGGGGAGAAAATAAAGGCCTCCCTACTGATGAGACATTTGCCAAAGGATCTAAAGGTATCATCTAGGCAAGAGAAGGCACTCCAGGCAAACAGAGAAGCGAGCTCAGGTGCTCTGGGGCAAGCAGGCTCATGGCATGTTGAAAGAAGGGGAGAGACTCCGGCCATTGTGGCTTAAGTGGAGAGAAGGAAGGTGACCTGATACAAGACTAGACCCAAAGGGGGGTCTCCAGTGTCTCACAGGGCTATAATCTTGGCCTTGATTCATGACTCAAAAAGTGGAACAGCTAGGGCAGGAGAAATGGGTTGGCAGTTATGAGCATTTGTTTCTCTTTAGAGGACCCACATTCTGTTCCTAGCACCCCTATGGTTGCTCACAACTGTCCCTATCTTCAGTGCCAGGGGACCCAACACCCTCTTCTGGCTTCCACAGGCACCAGGCACACATGGTGCACAGATATATATGCAGGCAAGACACTGATACACAAACAAAAAAATAAAAATAAAAATAATTATATAAGGATATCCTTGAAGGTCACTGACCTCCATTTGTTAACAGTAGCATGCCAGCTAAGCCTTTTCATTTTCACAATCCTCTTCAAGCTGGTGTAGTACCTACTTTTCAGGAGTGGCTCTGTGCAACATTTATTGGCCTCCTGAAATTCATTTAGCCCCCTTTGAAGATACCTTAAAATTTATGAGCCTGAATGTAGCCATTATGAGACCATTAGTTCTGCTCCTTGTGAGTTGCCTGTTTTTTCTTTATGGTTCTTAGTTGTTCTTTTGCAGAGCTGCCAGCTTAAGTCATGCTGGGATCAAGAAAAATGGGCCCTGACGATTCGTGTTCCTGGAGTTGTATCCATGCCAGTGGATGCCCACACAATCCAGAAGAGAATTTGACATTGCTGCTGCTGTTGTTGCTGTTATAGCAGTGGCAGCCACCGCTGCTGCTGTTTCTGGGATTACCATTTCATAATTGGTTACTACAGCTAGCACAGTGGAGAGCCTGGTAACAAAAGTAGCTACCACAGTTAGTTAATCTTTCATTCTATTGGGCATGACAAATTTAATTCAATAGTTATATACATTTCTATTGGCTTTGAAAATTATAAATTTATAAACTCAAGTTCCATTTACTTTTGGGATACCATCTTACAAGGACTCCAATTTGCAGTAAGGCTCATTAAGGAAGGGAATGGCTCAGTTGTCTTTAGCCTACTGGCTATGGGTGAGTTAGGACTTCTGTTGGTCTTTTCTGTGTTGAACACACAGATTGCAAGCCCAGTACCACTTTGAGATCTTTGGCAGCAGTTAACTCTGCAGCTCACACGATTGAGCCTGTATAATGAGTATTCAGAGATGGGTAATGCCTGGGGAGCACTCACCAACCTAAGACAGAGTGCCTGTGTGGCCTGGACAGGTGTCTCCATGACAGGTAAAGTAACCTGCTGATGTCCCACATAACCTAAGTCAGAAGCTCACTTTTTAGTAAAAGGGGGACCTGTAGGTCCCTGGCCCCTGTTTTGGGTAACTGTTGCCTTGCTTGCTGACCTTGACCTTGATATCCTCCCTATGCTAATTCCCTGCTGGGTTCCACTCTCCTGAATGCTTAAGGGAAGTTCCTTGTCTGTGTATCCTGCATAATGGGCATTAACAGCTTAGATGCAAAATTGTAAAACATTGGTAGCAAACTTCTGCCCTCCAGGGTTCTCCCATTGTACTGTAAGCCTGTATTTAAGACCTCCTCCCTCCTTTAATAAACGGCATTCAGCATTAAAAAAAAAATCTTGTGGAGAATAACAAAAAATAAAAATAATAAAAATAATTATAAAAAAGTTGAATAGCTCACACAAATTCATGAAGTCAGCAAGATCAGACTTCAGCTTTAGACACAACAGTGTTGTTTTAGAGGTTGTATGCAAAACTGCCATGATAGTCTGCTTTCCACAAAAAAGGCAGGTTGTCATTTACTTTTTCAAATTGAAAAAAAAGCAGAATATAGGGACCAGCGAAATAGCCCAGCAGGTAAAGGCAACTGCCACCAAGCCTGAGGATCTGAGGATCTGAGTTTGATCCCTGGGACCCACATGATAGAAGGAGAGAAGGGACTCCCTCAAGTTGTCCCTGACTTCTCTACACATGTGCTATGACGTACACACCCCTTTAAAACAACAGTATGTAAACTTCTATATGCAGGAACATTCCCCTCACACAAAGCTGCCAGCTCTCAGCCAAAGCAGACACTTTGCCCTCATAACTGCTCATGCAGTATGACTTTGGACTTGAACCCTAAAGTGTTGTGGAATATTATTTCCACTATGCAGAGACGTGCTACATTTGTTTCTGCTGCAGAATATTACTTTAACTGTGTAAAGATGTGTTACATTTGTTTCTGCTGCATTTGTTTAGCGATGTAAGGATGTGTGTTTAGCTATGTAAAGATGTGTTGCATTTGTTTCACCTTGCCTGCCGAAGGCACCTGATTGGTCCAATAACGACCTAAATGGCCAATAGCTAGGCAGAGAAAGGCTAGGTGGGGCTGCCAGGCAGAGAGGCTAAATAAGAGGAGAAGTCTAGAATGAAAGAAAAGAAGAAGAAAGCGGGGCTGGAGAGATGGCTCAGAGGTTAAGAGCACCGACTATTCTTCCTGAGGTTCTGAGTTCAATTCCCAGCACCACATGGTGGTTCACAACCATCTGTAATGAGATCTGGCGCCCTCTTCTGTGTACATAATAAATAAACCTTTAAGAAGAAGAAAAAAGAAGAAGAAGAAGAAAGCAGGGGAGAAAGAGAAGGTCACACCCGGGGCAGAAAGCCAGGCAGCCACCAGCCAGCCAGACATGAGAAGCCATGAAAGTAAGACGTACAGAAGGAAAAAAGGTAAAAAGGCCCAAGTCAAAAGGTATAAAGAAAGACAGGTTAACTTAAAAGAGCTAGCACAAAAATGTGCCCAAGCTAGGCCGAACATTCATAATAACAGACATAATAAGAAGTCTCTGTGTCACGATTTGGGAGCTGATTGGTGGCCCCAAAGAAGAAGTCTGGTACACTAGGGAGCCTTAGAAATTAGTTCCATTTGTCCCCAAGCTACTTAGTTGAACTACTCCTTCATCCCAGGGTCCTAACCTCTCCTTTCTGCCTACCCTGTTACATGACATTTTATGTCTATGTCTTCAGAGCCAGTCAAAATAGAAGTTCTCAATTGATATCATTATCAAGAAATCCATACCACCGTTTCCCTGAAACTAACAAAAGGACAGTGTTTGTGCCTGTGGGACTTTATCAGGGTCCCCGCTCTCTGGCCGACAGGCCCTGGGGGATGGGTAGGTCATGGCCCAGCACCGAGCCCCTTACCTGTTCTCCATGGAGGAGTTACACAGGAAGATGTGAACAGCAAGTCCGTTGTTAGACTTGATGTCTCCAGCTCCACATAAGGTGTGCAGCCCCTGAGAGAGCAGGAGACAGGGTGAGAAGCAGCAGTGTGTCGGAGACCCAGCCCGCCCCCGGCCCCTGAGAGTCAAGAAGCTGGCAAGGCTCTAGTCTTCGCTTTGAGAATGTCCCAGAAGTCATTGGGAGCTAGGCTGCCTGAAATGTATTGACTTACACTTGGTGGACTGTGTCCCATCCTAGTTGACCTAGAACTTTTAATGGCCGTGTCAGATGATCTTACATAATTTCTTTAAATGGATTTGAGACTGATATTTTATTATGATCCCAATAAACCGGGAGGAAGGAGGTGATACCTGGTAGAAAGATGGGGGGAAGCGCTGAAACTTCCCTTGACGTTTAGTGCCCCCCAAGTCTACCCCACCCTGGGGCAACCCTCTCTTGGGAAGAAAGCCAGGCTACTCTCCCCAGAGCAGAGCAGAAGACCTTGTGACTGACTGCAAATCCTTGTGCTTCAGGACCAGCCGATCTGATCCCCAGTGCAAGAAGTGTGGGGGGCGGGGGAGGGGAACTTCTTACATCACTCTGCCCCAAACCTGCAGGCAGGGGATTTATTTTTCTATCATCACTTAACGGGGAAGTTTGAGGTCGACTAGAGCGAGTCCTCACAAGGTGTGGGGGACACCTCTAAGGTCAAAAAGGCTCCGAGATGCTTTCAACAGTCTGGGCTAAAGCGGGGCACTTGGAGTCTTCCTAAGTAAGCCGAAGCCAAGCTTGCCTGCGGAACCCTCCTGGGTCCTCCTGGAGACCTACCGCCTGAGAGCTCCGGTCCCTTCACCCACAGGCTTCTTGCTGTGGGAGCAGGTGTTCCAGTACCGCCAACATTACTAATCAAGAAGGGCTGCCAGCTGGCACTGTACTTAGCCGGGTACCACCTGAGCTGATGCCATCCTAGCCCAGGGATCCATTTCAGAGGTTTCCAAGCTTTTGGGTGGGAACATTTTTTTCTTTATTTTTTTTAACTCATCTGAATGAAATTTATCATTTCCTTCAAGTATTATGAATGCAGGCAGCAAACCACAAACAGCACCGGAAGTGCCTGTAACTTTTTTAATGACTGGGACATTTTTGTAGCATTCATCACAGGTATCTCAAAGTATCATCTGGGCTCATACTATAGTGAATGGATTTTCCCATAGGTCTTATGATCTAGTACATTAACTAGGAGGCATGTTTATAACTATAAAACACATATAGTATTTTTAAAAAATATTTTACCATTGCATTTCAACATAATTGTCTGTATAATTTGATGTAGCTTATTTTACCCTGTCAAAAACACAGGTTGTGCCAGGCATAGTGGCTCATAGCAGTAATTCCAGCAACTGGGACCGAGGGAAGAGGACTGTCATGAGTTCAAGGCCAGCCTGAGCTACAGGGGGAGATCCTATCTCAACCAACCCAACCAACCAACCAACCAACCAACCAACCAACCAAACAACCAAACAAACAAAATCCCCAAGCCCCCAAATTAAAAACCAACAGCAAAATAAATACATAAATAAAAGAAGGTGTCACCAGACCATCAAAGGCGCCATGGATCAAAAAGTTTAGGAGTGGCTGCTCTAACCCAAAGAAGAAGTGCTGGACGGAGGAAATTTGACTCTCCTTGGCCTTTCTGTGAGGTAAAAAACTCCTGGGTGCCCTTTGGTGTCAGAAGCCATATGGTGCCCATGGTGCCCGTAAGTAAGACATCCCTCAGCCAGCCCCCCACTGCACACAGGTGGCTTTGTCTCTGCCGCCTCCGGTTCCGGCTGCTCTGCTTGGCATTCCGGACTGCAGATGGTTAGCTCTCTCTCTCACCGCAGGACAGAGGAGGGCAGTGGGAAGGCGCGGCGAATATTGACTTACGCTCACAAAGTCCACTTTCTTCTGAGATGCTTTTGGAATCTCAAATGGTTTCCATCTAAGCTGGAAAAATAAATACCCATACAGGAAAATGACTTCACAGGGAGAGGCCATAGGCTTATTAAATAGATTCAGTACAGAGAGGGAAAGGGACAATGGCTCCCTCTGCGAGGTTCTGGCCATTTGTGATTTTGTTGTGTTAGAACTAATGATTATCTATCCTTTCTTTAAAGGGGTTCTCTCTCTCTCTCTCTCTCTCTCTCTCTCTCTCTCTCTCTCTCTCACACACACACACACACACACACGTGTGTGCCTATGTGTGTGCTCTGTAAGGGTGTATGTCTCTGTGTGTATGTGATATAGGGGTGTGTGTCTATGTATGTGCTGTAGGGGTGTGTATCTCTCTCTGCTATGTGTGTATGCTCTGTAGGGTTGTATGTCTCGTGTGCATGTGCTATTGGGGTGTGTGTTTCTGTGTGTCTGCCGCAGGGCTGTATATCTCTTTCTGTATGCTGTAGGGGTGTGTATATTTAATATGAATATAAAGCGCCTTTGTTCCTTAGTGCTTTCAATTATAAAAATAAAGAGAACCCATTGCTCCCTCTCTCAGAAGGTGTTTCTTTTAACATTTCGCTCAGGCACATCTGTGAGTTTTGACTGATGCTGCTTTCATGCTATTTATAATCAGCTCCCTTTCCTGGCATGCCAGCCTCTCTGTGTGGGCTCCTGACACTGCAGGGGAAGGTTCCACTTTTACTTCCAGCCCTTGGAGTTTTGAATTATTTCCTTAAGAGACAGAAAAATGCATCCAGCTGAGATTGGATTTGGTGACTGCAGCGCCCGGTTCAATTTCTTCCCCAAACCTTGGGTTTGTCCCCGGGCTGCCCCATGGTTCACTTTAAATCGCAATGATCTTTAATTCAATAATGAACTGATGTAAGGAAATGGGGAGAGAAACCAGCAGGTGCAGTCCCTGCTCAGAGCATCAGTGCAGTGTTTATGAATCAATGTAGCACAGGGTCTGAGGCAGCCAGGCTGGGGAGCTCATCTGCCCAGCAGCCCCGGAGCACATCTTGCGGAGTGACCGGCATCCTGGGACCAGCTCCCTTGGCTGTTAGACCTGGTGGAGGCTGGATGGGCAAGGGCTTCGTCAAGGTCCTGGACTCTGTTCATTCTGTGTTTTGAGAAGGCAGCCAGGCGGGGAGGTGAGCAGCAAATAGAAAGGGTGCGGCTGGGATTATCCTGCCTCTGATACATGCAGTCAGGCTGTACCCACCATTTCTTAAAAGCAAAGGGGATGAGGACATTCTGAGACCACTTCAAAGGGATGCAAAGTGCGGGTTTGAAAAAGACTATTGAAACTGTGCTCGAATTAGAATTAGAATGCAGGAATACTTCAGGACTGATTCCATTCACGATGATACTTCTGGGGACACAGGGGGAACCCAAACAGCAAGGATCTAGAAAGGGCTTTCAACCATTGGCATGAGACATTTTGTGCTGGGTAATTCTTTGTTGCAGAGGTGCCCTGTTCATAGAGAGATGCTCAGCACTGCTCCTGGCCCCTGCCCGCAAGATACCAGTTGCATTACTCCAAGTAATAGCGATCCAAAAATATCCCCATTGTCAAAACACTCCTCTGAGTCAAATATCCTGCAGAGAACTACAGACCTACAGGAAAATTTCCTTGACCTCAGGAAGGGCCATAGCTGAGCACTGTGCATGTAGGATGGTGTGTGTGTATGCTGGGGACCAAACTCTGAACTCTGTAAATACACAACAGATGCTCTCCCATGGGGCAACACCCCCACCCAAATACTGCTGCAGCTTTAAGGGGTGGCCATGGTCTACTACTAACCATTGCCTACTGCCTCTCTCTCTGGTAGCAGTGGAGGAAAATCACCTGAAAAAGAGTCATCACCATAGATTTCCCAGAGGAAGATATTTAAGTATCAGATCAATCGTTGCCCTGGCAACCATTCAGCGCTAACCAGAGATTCTCAACCCTGGATACCCATGAGAATCAACTGGACAGCCTTTGAAACCACAGCCAAATTAAATCAGAACCTCTGGAAGTGGGACCTAGGCATCAGCATTTTATAAACGTTCCTCTATGTGCAGCCAACCAGCACTCAGAGATTCGGTGACTACTGCATCATGCTTAAAAAAAAATCTACCTAGTCAACCAAGCGATAAGCCATCCAGCTAAACCAAATAAACCATGGCACCTCAAGCCAGATGTGGTGGTGGCAATGCCAGCTTCTAGAGAGCAGCGATGTTTAAATAATACAAGCTTAAGAGTTAGCAAATCCAAGGAAAAAAGAGAGATGGGCAAGGGATATGAAAGAGGGAGAGACATTTTATATATGTATATGTGTAATTATATATTATATAGAAATATCATATATATTAATATTTATATGTAATATGTAAATGTGTTTATAAACATGTACTATAAAATATATACATGTATATAATATTATATAGTATATACATTATATATACTATATATATATAGAGAGAGAAGGGGAGAGCATGGGGAGGGCAGGGAGACAGCACAGCGGCAAGTGAATTGCTGCTGGCTACCGGGCTGTTGTACTAGGACACCTGTGTAATCTGCCTAAAGGTGGGATAGCTGTTGTGGGTAGAAATGAAGCCCCACCTCACAGGAAAGAGGCTCTTCTGTGAGTGGGAAAGACTGAGCCCGAGGCCTGATGGGTTGGCAAGGTCTGCTGCGGAGTTTTCCAGTTCTCCAGCCACAAGGAGAGAAAGGCTGAGGTGGTGGGTGAAATGCAGCCACGTGCTGACGTAGGAAGCCTGCCGTCAACAGGGCCCACATTCCAGAGGAAGGAAGCCCCAACAAGCCTGTCTTCACCAGTGTAAAAATGACCGTCTTTAAACGACAGATGGTACAGGGAGAAAATGAATGCATCGGTTGTGTCTGATGGCAGTTGATGGGACAGAGCCTATATCGTGAGGAATTATAATGATCCTGATGTGCTTCTCTGATAAGGCCTGGACCACAAGAGGAATTCAACTTTGGATCATCAGGCAAGAGACTTTGGTCAGGAGCCCTGATGTGATGTCTTGGTGAATGTGAAGGGGGTGAACAGAAATTGTCCTTGGAGCATAGAACAGAAGCTTCCCTGCTGAGGCCGGAGGCTCAGCCTGGTGCATTTCCTGCAGAGCAATCACTGTGGTAAGCCCAGGCCAATAAGACCATGCATGGGGCAAACCAGAAGATTTGGTGTCTGCTATTTCCTCTGTGGGCAAATTATTTTACCTGTTTGGTTTGCTTTCCTTATAGGTAACAATGGGGTTATGGAAGGGACTATAGTTCCACGAGCTCCTATAGAAGAGCATCTGGCAGTCAAAGGACACTTTGTGACTGATAAAACTCTTTGATATGGACTGACACCCATCTCCCCTCCAACACCAGTTTATGTATTGAAGCTCTAACCTCCATTGAGACTGCCTGGGAGGTAAGGCCTTTCAGTGGTAGATAAGGTCAAATTAAATAATACAATTTAGGAGTGATAGCCTAAGAAGAATTAGATCCAGGTACTTGGGAAACTGAGGCAGGAGAACTGAAGGTTTTACAGCCTGGGATATATACAAAGGTCTTGTCCAATAATAATAATAATAAAATAAAACCCAGAGTACTAGCTGGGCAGAGGTGGCGCATGCCTTTAATCCCAGCACTCGGGAGAGAGAGGCAGGTGGATCTCTGTGAGTTCGAGGCCAGCCTGGGCTACAGAGTGAGTGCTAGGACAGCCAGGGCTACACAAAGAAACTGTGTCTCAAAAAAAAACAAAAACAAAAAAAAACAAAAACAAAACAAAACAAAACAAAAAAACCCAAAACCAACCAAACAAAATGCCCCAAAAAAGCAAAAAAGAAAGCCATTACCAGCCATCAACCCTTTGTAGACCTTGTTATTAGACTCCAGTCTCCAACCCTTGAGGGTACTCTTCCTGTTTTTTTTTTTTTTTTTTTTTTTTGGTTTTTCGAGACAGGGTTTCTCTGTGTAGTTTTGCACCTTTCCTAGATCTTGCTCTGTAGACCAGGCTGGCCTCGAACTCACAAAGATCTGCCAGGCTCTGCCTCCCAAGTGCTGGGATTAAAGGCGTGTGCCACCACCGCCCGGCTGTTCCTGTTATTTAAGTGGGCAAGCCATGGCATAATAGAATGCTACAGTTTCATAACCATTTTTTTTCATACTATATATAACCACTGAATAGCTCCTCCCATATGAAATTTAATTAAGTCTTTCAAAAACAATGGCATAGATTATAGTATCTAATATGTAGCCTATAGTATGTATGAATATATACTTATTGAATGATTGAAGAGATTAATAAATATAAGCATGGAGAACATGGTTTATAAAAGTTCAAATATTACTTCCAATGTGTAAATCAGTTCCTCACACGTGTATAAAGTTGTTCTGATTTTCTGTCCAGTAGGTCTGTCAACTACTGAAAGAGGGATGTTGAAGTCCTGACCATGACTTTTTCTTTCAGGGCTATCAAACTATGTCACATAGTTTGCTTTTCATTTTTGCAAATTCTATTGGAGAATAAACTTCTATTCACTAAAACTGAGGTGCTAAAAGAGTTTGAAAAGCATTTCCAAGGGTGTTCGATGTTTGAATTAAAAATTCTTTAGCATTTCCAAAGGAGGGGGATGAGAGGATCCCTGTTAACATTTAATTAAGGAGATTCAAAATTCATACCTGGAGATGAAAAGGAAACAAGAGAGAAGAAGCCTCAATATGTCTGAAGTTGGCGGACTCAAGTTTGGCTGGATGACATGAAGATCCCTTCCAATACTGAGAGTCCTTGATTCACTGACTCCATCCAAAACTGCCACGGACTCAACCACCCTGGGTGACCTGGATTCTCTTCACATTGGTTGACTAGAGGCAGACACTTTATTCCAAGCTGGTGACATCATCCAAGAACTTGGAAGTAACTTGTGGATAAAAACCTTAGCCGTAATGCTTAAGCCAGAGCCAGCAGCAGCTATGATTGAAGGAGGTTCAAGATAATCAGTAATGTTGACTTTTAGACCAAGGAGGGAAGAGGGGGTGGATGAAATAAAGAGTGACTCACACAAGTCTTCAGCAAATCTATCAGTCTCAGGAGAAGAGGAACTATAATTTATGTGGCGAGAGATCAGGCTTTGCTTGATCTGCTGGAGATCTTTGGCGTAATGGGCTGCTACAGGGTTTCCCAAAGTCTCTGGTAGCACTCCAGCTCTCCAGCCACAGGGAGAGAAAGGCTGAGGTGGTGGGTGACAGACAGGTAAAGAGGACCCAAGTCACAGTAATTTGTTTAGACTTCCTAAAGTCTTTCATGGGACTTCAAAAAAAAAAAAAAAAAAAAAAGTCATCATAGATTCCCAATGTGACTTTGCTCCTAAATGCAAAGCTGAGGATTTTATATTCATTATCCAGTGTTATGGTTTAAATGTGCTAGTCAGCCCTCCATTATGATAATGAAATGCCAGAGTCAGTTAACTTATAAAGAGAAAAGGTTTATTCGTAGTTTTGGAGATTCTAGTAGAAGAATGAGAAGCCCCAGGCTTTGGGCCTCTGGTGAGGGTGGAGTGTTATGACGGAGGTAAATCGTTCACCTCCCGAGTCAGGTAGTGAGAGAGAAGAGAGTGGGTTTCTGTACTCCCCTTTCAGACTGTAACCACACTGACCTAAAGGCTTCATTGCCTAAAAGTCCTACCACTGCCCATCAGTGCCACTCTGAGAACATTACACCACGAGACCCCAACGTGTGAAGATTTCCCAAGTAGGAAAGTAAACAGATAGTGGAAATGGCTTTGGAAGAGATACATAAATAGAAGCATTCCTTCAGGAGTATGTCCTGGCACAAGGCCTATCTGACATCTGTATACATGAAATCATTTGGTTTGCAGACAGCTCCAGTATCTTTCCAGGGAGTGAAATGTAAGGTGATAGAGATGAACTACACAAAAGAGCTAGCCAGCTGTCCAAAAAGGCTGCCCAAGGCAGTATGCACTGCAGTGCCGGCCAGTGCCAGAAGATGCATTTAGAGAAATGCAATCCTGTCTATTTATAGGCTGGTGAGAGCCGAGCTACTGGAGAATACATTCAACAAATATTTGCGATTTTTGGAAATAGGTATGTGCTAGGTGTTGCAGACCAGAGAGAGATAATGGAGACCTGAGCTCTCTCAGACACCCTAAGAAGTGCTCCAGTTCAATGGAAGAAAGCAGTATTTATATTTAGGACCAGCTTTAAGTTATTCGTGGGATTTTGACAGATAGATGTTTATAAGGGAAGAGAAAAATTCCAGGAAGACAGAAAAGCATAAAGCATCAATGCAGAACCATTTAGCGCATTTTCCAGGAATGGGGATGGTCTAAGTGTGGCCGGCAAGCGGGGGACATGGCAGGAAGTAGAGCAGTGGTTCTCAACCTGTGGGTCGAAACCCCTCTGACGAACATCTGTCTCCAAAAAATATTTACATTTGGATTCACAACAGCAGCAAAATGACAGTTATGAGGTAGCAACGAAAATAACTTTATGGTTGGGGGTCACCATAATAGGAGGAACTGTAGTCAAGGGTCACCGCATCAGGCAGGTTGAGAACCACTGAAATAGAGGTTTAAAAACTCATGGCAGTGCATGAGGCTCTTCCTCTCTGGTGTAGGAGCCTACACTTGACAGCCTGGCAGTGGGACCAAAGGATGTTTGCAGGATTTGAAGACTTTTAGACAAGAATAAGCTGAGTCAGGCATAGGATGAGGAAGCCATATTGGATCAGTTATGAGGTTGTTATCATCATCCAGGTAAATGGGAATAAGTTCTGTGTTATCTAGAGTTAAGGAAAAGCAGGAGAAAAATTAGAGATATCTCAGGAGTAAATGCTGCAAAATTTCTTAAAGTGTGGTCGACACTTTAATTTTTTGAAGTGAGCTGAAAAATTCCTCAGTTGCTCAAGGAATTCTTCTGATTGGTTCATCTCACCCAGGCATTTTCCATCAATAACTATCCCTTTGTACTTGCGGGAAAGAGAATCCAACGAAGGGGAATTTCGCCAGTTGATATTTAGAAGGAAAGGGTGAGGTAGAGTATTATGGTCTGGACCCCTCCCCCTATTCATATATCCTTATACCCAGAATGTGATAGAAACGTTTGTTTGTTTGTTTGTTTTTGAGGCAGGGTCTCACAAGCCTGGCTTCAAACTCATGATCCTCTTGACTCTGTCTCCTGAACGCTGGGCTTGTAGGCATATATCACCATGACCAGCTGGGGCACACTCTTGACCGCATACATAGGGGAGAGGCTGGTAACTAAATAGGGTTGGTAACTAAATAGGATGTGAGCCCTTGCAAGAACAGGCATGAAACAGAAAGGAGAGGTGAGAAGACAGAGGAGCAAGACAGCAGAAGAAAACTGCCTCAGTCTCGGGAAGCAGAGCTTGGAGAAAGTGATGCCTCAAGTTCTGCTTTGGTTTTGTTGTGGCGTCCTTGGCAAACAAGGAGAGGAAAGGGAAGCCGGACATAAATCCAAAGGAAGCATAGAGGAGGGTAAGAACAACACAGAGAGAGGAGTGCCCCAGTTTCCAGAGGGAGATGGCCACAAGGGGGAGGTGATAGTCTAGTTCAGGACCTGGAGAGCCCTGATTTGATTTTGCAGATTTTGAGTCACTGCAATGCCCTGGTATCCAGGGAAGGGCTGAGGTTCAGAAAGAAAAAGAAGAAGAAGAAGAAAAAAAAGGCAAGTCAGCGTTCATGCTTTGGAGTGCTGGGGAGACAAGGACTGAAATGGCCGCAGATGATTTATGACAGTGAAAATGGAAAGTATCAGAATGTGACAGGAGAATCCATTTACCAACATGGGTTATAATACAGCATTACAGATGGTCACCAAAGTGCTTGTCACCAAGTCTGAAGATCTGAGATAAATGCCTGGGGCCCCATGGCAGGAGATACTGAAACTGACTTCTCTACTACACCAGTGCTGCAGTGTGTGTGTGTGTGTGTGTGTGTACACATGCACTCACAGGCATTTGTGTATACAACACACACATACACTAAATAAATTTAATTAATTAAAAAAAAAAAGTAATGCCAGGCAGTGGTGGCGCACCTTTAGTCCCAGCACTTGGGAGGCAGAGACAGGAGGATCTCTATGAGTTTGAGGCCATCCTCGTCTACAGAGCAAGATCCAGAACTGCCAGGGCTACACAAAGAAGCCCTGTATTGGAAAAAAAACAAAACAAAAAACACCAAAAAAAAAAATCAAACAACAAAAATCTACCAACAGGAGTATAAGACATGGGAAAAGGTACAAAATAAGTGTTTTTTTTTAAAAAAAATATGAAACTATTACATCATGAGCTAATTATTGTAGACACATGTAAATAATATTTTTAATTATTCATATTCAGTTCTCTCCCTGCCCCTCCCTACTCCATGGAGAGGAATTCTGACTTGCACATTCTCACTGGATATCCTTGAACTCCAGTCTCACTGTAGATATCAGTCTGTGTGTGTCTTAGGAAGAGCAGGTGAGGACTGACGCCATTTTCTAGAGGCAGAAGGTAGAGTGTAGAAAAGTCAAACTAAACCAGTGGGGATAAGGCAAAGGGCTTGGGGCAGGCAAGAGAAAGAGAGAGAAGATCCTAGCTCAGAAAAGGCTTGGAGTCTGGGTAAAAAGAGGAAGAGGATTTTGCAAAGTGATGCTTCAGGACATGTATTAGACATTTGTTAATGTTTTAAGGAGAATCAAGTAAGGATTGATGTTGTTTTCAATTATTTTTGGTACTTGCTTGCCTGGAACTCTAGGAATACTTCTTCATGCCTATGTACAAGGAATAAAATGAAAAGGGATAAGCCGGAACATTAGATGCAGTTAATTCTGCATTGGTGGAATTCCTAGGCATTGCTACTCTTAGGCAAGTTTTGAATAAAAGTGTGTTATTCATGGGGATGTAGTCCCCTATTAGTCTAGTACCTATTCAGGAAACTGAGACACAGGATTTCCCAAGTCCAGGGGTTCAAGGCCAGACTGGGCAAACATAACAGATCTTCATCTCAGGGACAAAAGGGGCGGGGGGGGGGG